ACTAAATAGCCTAATGAGGATGCTTATTTGCAGCATAAGAGCTGAAACATGAAGGCAGAGCATTACTTTATTTAACCTCAGCTGGAATGTACATGTCAGGTGACTCAAGTTTTTCCCACACTACACGTCTACCAGTGACCTCAAAAGCATTTCAGGTGTTGACTTTCGGGTTACATATAAATTTTTAGCAAGGAGGTGAATTGCAAATGTGGAATCCATGAATGATGAGGATCGATTGTATTTATATTAGAGGACTTGGCTATGATGGCCCCCCTTTCCCACCACACCTCGTTTTTAAACGAATTTTTAAATTTTATTCAAAATATGTTCCCTCACCATGTCATTTGATTTCTAAAACACTATGACATGTATGGACAGATTTTTTATTCATTAAGTATATATTGAGTGTCTTGTATGTTCAGGCACTGTCTAAGTGCTATGGATATAGTCATGAATATGATGGACTAAGATCCTTGTTCTCACGAGTAGCTTATATAGTTTGGCAAACATTCTTTTCAATTTTCAGTTGAGGAAATTTGGCACAGTTGAATAACTTTTCTAAGGTCACAAGACTCGTAATACAGAGCCAGAGTCAGAACTCAATTTTTTTATATATTTTGATCAGGGCTGTTTCAATTGTCTCTTCTCTCTATTTAATTTTCCCTTTCCATTAGGTTTTCCCACTCACCCAGTGAAATGTCTTTCAAAAAAATTCTCTATTGACCTTGGTTCTTCTAGCAGTCACTCCTATCTTCTTGACAAACATGACTGACTACCATCCATTGGATTCTCAACCCACTCTCTTTCACCAGCACCAAATGGTGCCTTCTAAAGTGACCAGTGTCCCCTACTTGCCAAATTTAGTGGATTTGTTGTGACATTTGATATAAAATACTATTGTAGGTCTTCCATCTGCCTTCAGAATTTTTCCTCTCTGGGCATGGAGCCTGTCTTTCTTGATTATCTTTTTGCCTGTCTGACCACTGCTCTGTTTTTCTAGCATCTGTTCCTTTATCTAATGTAAATGTTGCTATTCTTCAGAGTTTTACCTTTGACCCTCTTCACTTGCCATCAAATCAGAGATTCTTAATCTGAGGCTCAGGTGCTTTTGAAGGTCTGTTAACCCCTCAGTTTTATGCAATTTATGCACTTTTTTTTATCAGATTAGAGGAGATCATAACTCAAAAGTGTTAAGAAGGACTGCTCTATGTATATTCCTGTGGCTTTATCTGCTGCACACTTGACTTTCAAATTCATGTCCCCCACTTCCTTCCTTTCCCCTTATCTGACTCCTGCCCTTAATCCTTAGCATCTTTAGCATAGTTCCTCAGGAGTGCTACAGGAATGCAATCGTTTCCTTACTGCCAGTTACCCTACCTATCCTCCTACTCATTTCATCCTACATCAGGTTAGATTTTTGTCTTTGAAACAAAAATGTGATTACATCTCTACATGCAAATGATGTTGAGTTTTAAGTAGAAATGAGTCCATATTTCTTAGCATACTAAAAAGCTCCTTTATGATCTGTCTAGATTTTCAAGTTCATTTCCCATTGCTTTTCCCTATCCATTCTTTCACTCATTCTTAGTCTGGCTTACAGTTCTGCTATTCATAACTCTGATGTCCATTTTAGTCCTTTCCTGTCTTGTATTTGCTGTTTCTCTTTCCCTGGAATGCCCTTTCCCTCCCACTTACCCACAGTTTCTCCGTAGGCTCACTCCTGTTCATCCTTCAAAACCCAGTCACATGTCACCTTTATTATAAAACTTTCCCTGCTTTATGCTAAGTGAATAACTTTTTAATGCTATCATCTTAGCACCTCCTCTTTCCCATTGCATTATAATTAATTGTTTACATGCCTGCTCTTTCCCTGCTAGACTGTGTGTCCTTCAAGGGCAGGGATCTTGTCTTCATCCTTGTATCCTCTTTGGCTGGGACAGTATCTGGCTTGTTGTCAGGTGATAAGTATTTTTAGATGGATAAACACATTTTTGAGCTGTCAAAATTATATTTTCATTAAGTCACAAAACCTTAGAAAAGTTAAAACATTTAAAAAACATGTCATTTGTTACCTTGCATAAAACGGTAAATGTTTACGGCTTCTTTAGGCATTATTTTACTAAGCATTAGGTGGCAGTAGTGTGTTGTACTTGACTTTACCCTTGTAATGATTTTTTTTTTCAGTTTTCACAATCTTAATGTGATGTCAAAGTGTAAGGGACACAATTACAGTACTGATATCTAACTTTTTGTAACATGATCTTGTTTTAAGCAAGTAGGCATCTCATAGAAAATAAAGCAAAACAAAACAACAAAACATAGCCATGTCAGTCAATGTGTGTGTCTCTTTCTGTTGCCTGTCTAAACTATATTCAGATTCATTAGAGAATTACTACTGCATCAGCCTAACAGCACTTGCTCACCAACTGTTTAATGGCTGCCTCACAATAACAGTGATTTGAAATAGCGAAAACCAAAAATTATCTCAGAGGATACGTATTTTCTCAGTATCCTAAGAAACTTACTTATGCCTTTATCTCAAAATAGTATATTAAAATCATTGAATTTACTGTTATTAAATACTTTCTTTTTCTTTTTTTTTTAACTTATCAGTTTTTGTGAATATTAAGGTTACCTATTTTGTTTATTGAATTCCTTCATCATTAGGTAGTTAGAATTAAGGATTGTCACTGCCTCTCCAGCTTTATGCATTTAATTCCATCATTAATTTTGAGCAGTTATGTATGAGAATGTCAGTGCTTTTACCATACATTTCATTGCTATTGTGGTTTCTTATAGTCTATAAAGTTAAATTGATAGAAGTTATATTTTATTTAAGGAAAATTTATACAATTTAGGTCCATGGAACATTTCTGCAAATAAAAGAAACAGATAACTTATAGGAAACAGTTTTAGTGTTGATTCAAATATGAGATAGGTAAAGTTAATCTGTGACATTTTCTTTCTTGTATCTACTTTACTTTCTTTTCTAGTATCTACTTTCTTTTCTATCTCAGGGATAAAGCACTTGAGGGAATTCAACACCACTATACTAGTATCATTAATATGGCAGAATGATCAATTAATAAAATAAGAGCATGAAAGTGTTGACAGAACACACTACCTAATTAGTACCTGATGGCCTTGGTGGCCACAGAGCAGAGCTCTGAGTTGCTGTAGGAGAGCATCTGTGTAGGATCTGTACATATGTATATTACCACTCTTCTTTAGCAGGGATGACTTTAGTTTGGCTTCAGTTTTTTAAGTACTTAATTTTATAAAAAACATGTCTTCCCTGAACCCAGACAGCAGATGAACTCAGCCAGTGCCCTACTGCTAATTATTAATATCATTTGAAGATATTGGAGGCAGAGTGTTTACCTTGGAATTCATTCTGTAGCGCATGTTGAATATGTCATCAAAGACTGATTTGATTGGGGGGGGTGTTGTCTGACTTTATACTTAAATTGGATATTATGTAACCGACTACACAGGATTTAAAACTGTTTTCATATCTTATGTACAATCATAAAGGAATGGGAGTTATGCTACACTTGAATGTATTCAAAAGAGAATAAGTATGTTACTAGCAAAGAGAATTGGTGCAAGATTTTATTTTAGAGTTAGAAAATCTCACAGTTTGAGGAATATTATAGAGGTCAGTCTTGGCTTTGAAAAGGTTTTGCTGTGTATTGCCATGGATTGAATTCAATCACATATCTTTCTTTTACATTTCTTCTTTTCTGTAAATCCATTTCCTGCAGATCTACTTCTTAATTCTTTATTTGGAAAACATCAATACCTCCCATAAAGATTGTATAGCTTTGTTTTCCTTTAGTTTCTTCTCTGTTTTTCTTTATCCTTCCTTTTCCTCTTCTTCCTCTGTCGTCTCATCCCCATCTTCCACTGTCTCCCCTTTCTTTTTCTCTTCCCTTTCCTCTGCCTGCCTCTCCCATCTCCTGCCCACTCCTCCCTCACTTCCTTTTCTTTGTTTTTCTCCTCCTCTTTGTCTCCTTTTTCTTGGAGCTACCAGTAATCTCAGAATGAGTCTCTTAATTTGTTCTCAAAGGCAGTCAAGATTATAGTGACATTTAGCAGAAGATTTAAAAATATTTTCAGAAGACCAGGAGGTCTCTTAAAAAATATTAATGGTGTTAAAATGGCTCTTTTGGAGAATGGAGGCAATCATTAAAGATTCTGGTAGACCAAATGTACATACATCCCTGCATGTTATTTTGTCAACGTGGCAGACCATGTAATCACACTGAAGCCTCATTTTAAGACTCTCTCTGGGGACCATGGGACTATGTTATATATACGATTCTATTATAAATAATTCTATTATAAATAATTTCTAGGACTATTCACAATGATTGCTTAGTAAGGGCTGCAGTTATATAGAGCCAAATTGTGAGTGCTAGGAGAGCATATTTTTTTTAATATCTAAAGTAATGCATCACTTCATGACTGGGTTATGTTCTGAGAAATGTGTCTTTAGGTAATTTCATCCTTGTGCAAACCTCATAGAGTGTACTTACACAGGCCATCTATATATGGTGTATATGTATATAACCTACTACACACCTAGGATAGATGATATAGCAGCTTTTGCTCCTAGGCTACAAACCTGTACAATATGTATCTGTACTGAATACTGTAGGCAGTTGTAACACAGTGGTATTTGTGTATCTAAACATGCCTAAACGTAGAAAAGGTACAGTAAAAATGCACTATAAAAGATAAGAAATAGTACACCTCTATAGGGCACTTACCATGAATGGAGCTTGCAGGACTGAAAGTTCCTCTGGGTGAGTCAGAGAGTGAGTGGTAAGTGAATGCGAAGGCCTAGGATATTACTGTACACTATTGCAGACTCTATAAACACTATACATTTAGGTTACACTAAATTTATAAAAATTTTTCTTCCTTCAATAATAAATTAACCTTAGCTTACTGTAACTTTTTTACTTTTAAAGTTTATAAAGTAGGTTTGTTTACACTAACATCACCACAAACGACTAATGCATTGCACTATGGTGTTATGACAGCTATGACATCACTAGGTGATAGGAATTTTTCAGCTGCATTATAATGTTATGGAACTGCTCTGGTATATCATTATATTATGTCAATGATTATGCCATCTGTTCTAATTGATAATCCAAGGACAGTATCCCCCACCCTCTGTTATAAATTTGGGGAGATAATAATAATTGCCAATTATAGTAACCAGGACCATGTAGGAAGACTACTTGTAGCTGAAGAATATTAGACAAGGTGATCGTATACCCTTTTCCGGCTTACTCATCCATTTCCTTCCCAGGTAGATTCTTCCGTATAGACTTATTATGGAAGTCCTTTGCAGTGCAAAATGGCAGAGGGAAACTTCTCTCCCACAGTCATAGTTCCTTACCAGTTGGCTAAGAGAGATTCCATTGTCTGCATCCTTTCCTTTAGAAACCTCAGGGACCCAGTGGTGGGGAGTACTCATGCCCATGAACTCTTTCCTTCCAGCCACACTTGGGTCTTGCTTTCTAGTTGGTGGTGGCAGTGTGACACCACAGCATAGGGGGCCTGAGAGGCAAAAATTTAGGCTTCCTACCTATTTCAGATGTGGAAGGGAAGCAAAGCCATGGAAATGAGCCCTGGCCCTTTTAGTAGCTGCTCAGGACCCCAGACCAGTGCACTTCAGCACTGCAAGACCTCTTGGCATCTGGGAGATATTTTGGAGGAGTTTTGAGAGAAGATTGGAAGAGAAAAGCATGAGAAGGGATTGAGAAGCTGCTATGTGAAAGAAGTAGATGAAAAGGGGAAGATTTAGGAAGTGTTGGTAAGGGGCAAGATGGCTGTCATAGGTGAGTGAAAAAAACATAAACTGTTTTTCCTCTGCTCTTACACCACAAAAGACTTCCAAAACAAAATGTCTGCGGATTTTCCCCACACACCAAGCAAGCAAGCAATTCTGCAGTGGACACCAACTAGGTGTCCTTTAATTCAATTCAATTCTGACATAATCTCTTTGGAAGGAGATAGTATCAGATTTCACAGGTGAGGGCCCAGTCCCACAAGACTGCCCCTCACTTCTGATGTCAGTCATAAGGCCCAGGTTGTTTTACCTGTGCTTCTAACTGACCAGTTATAAATTGAGGTTTCTAGGACCACCTCCTTGGGTTCAATTAATTTGCTAGAGTGGCTCATAGGACTCAGGGAAACAAATTACCAGTTATACACATTATAAAGGGTGTTACAAAGAATACAAGTATGGAGGAAGGAGTGCAAAGCTTCCACGCCCTCTCTGGTCTTGCCACTTTCCAGGAACTTGCATGTGTTCAGCTATGAGGAAGTTCTCTGAACCCAGTCCTTTGGATTTTTATGGAGCCTCCATTACATAGGCATAATTGACCAAATCACTGGGCCATTGGTGATTAGTTTCACCTTCAGCTCCTCTGCCTCTCTGGAGGTTGGTGGGGCTAGGGCTGAAAATCCTAACCCTCTAATCATGCCTTGGTTTTCTGGTGACCTACCTCCATCCTACAGCTACCCAGAGGCTGCCAGCCTTAATCAACTCATGAGCATACAAAAACAAACAAACAAACAAAAACATCCCTTTAGAAATTCTAAAGATCTTAGGAGTTGTATATCAGGAAACAGGTCAAAGATGAAATATCTATTTTACATTGTCACACAGTGTTTGAAAAATAAGAGCAAAGAGATGGAGTTATTTGGAATTATTTAGTAGCTAAACTGTTGTTATTTTGTTTGTTTGGTTGGTTGGTTTTTTGTCTTGTTTTGAGAGGAGAGAAGTTAGGGATGTGATAAGCATTTTGGGGGAGAGGGTCCTTGGTTTTTACAAAATTATCAAAAGAGTAAGAATCTACTGGTATTTGTGAAATATTTTAATAGACCCTATATTTACTACTTTGGTAAATCAAAAGCAAATTCTTCATCAGGAAAAATATTGGGAAATGCTGTTCTAGTCTGATATTGTGATGAGATTTACTAATGCCTAATTAACTCATATAATTCTCTCAAATTGAGTTTTCCCATTTTATTTGACAACAGATGTCCAAAGAAGTAAGTTTTTATTATCTTTAGAGGTCATGAGTGCCTCAAAATATTATATATTGATGACTAGACCCATAAAAGCATGAGAACTCTAAATAAAAATGACTCATAATAAGCTTTTATTCAATGTTTATGTGTGTGCTGCACTTTGAGATTCCTCAGTGGTATTTCTGCATTATAATCTGTTTGGAATGTGTATCCACTATGATATCATGGAAATTTAACTGTGGTCATATTGCAGCTTGGCAAGACAGTACTTGAATGAGACTCTCCCCAGAATCATTGGCACAAAAACAAACAAAAACATCATCCAGCTTCTTTTTGTTGAGATACTGATAAGATCTGTTGTTATGACCCTTTTTTCCACCTTTTAGCAGTACAGAATTAATATGTGAAACATAAACAATTTCTGGAAGACTAGAAGGTAGAGAAAGACATTAGGATTTTTTTAAAGGATGTGGCCTTGTTCATATTTAAGTCTCATAACCACAGCTACTGTCTTGGTCATTTTTGTGCTGCTGTAACAGATTACCACAGACTGGATAATGTATAATAAACAAAAATTTATTGGCTCACAGTTCCGTATGCTCAGAAGTCTAAAATTAAGAGGCTGGTATCTGTCAAGAGTCTTTTTGTCACATGTCTGAAGGCTGAAGGTCAGGGTGTGGGGTGGGTGAGTGCTCACACAAAAGGTATCTGAACTCGCCCTTCCGTAGGGAACCTACTTCTGAAATAACAGCATTAATCCATTCATGACGGCAGAGCAGTCATGGCCAATAACCTTTCAAGGTCCCACTTCCTAATACTGTTACAGTGGCAATCAAATTTCAAACATGAGTTTTGTAGAGAACAATTATTCAAATCATAGCAGCTACAAATCCAGTGTTTTCAGGTATACTCTTTTATGAATGCATTCCTCTTAGGGTTTGTTTGTTCTGTATCTTGTTCCTCAGTTTGAAAAGTATTTGAAGAATGACCGTTGGGCTGAAGCACATTCTCATCTCATATTAGTTCATACTGCCACCTTAATGGAATGATAATAGTAAGTACTTGTTCACTAGGAACGAGTATGTGTGAGAGAAAAGACACCAAAGCGCAAAATTTCAGATCAAACCTAAAATTTGTCCCTCTTTTTGTGGGTATGTTTTAGATTTTGTGTTTTTGGGGAAAGTGTTACACATACAAGTTAAATACACAGATATTTATAGAGGATCCTTACGCAAAGAGGCACTGTGTTTATCTCTACATGGATACAGTAGTTAAGATACAGTGTTTGTATTCTCCATCTATAATACTTGTAATAGATAAAGCTGAATGGTAGGTTGGGCTTCTTCTGTTGTAGGACTTGTTAAGGATAAAGAATATGATTATAATTCATTATGCAGTAGATTGCCATTTAAAATTTATGAGCTTGGGAATGACATGGTTAGAGTTTTAAGGCAAGTGACTTTGGAAGCAGGTGAAGTGGATTGAAAGGCTATTAAGATGACTGCAGAAGATCAGGTAGGAGTTAATGCTGGAGTTAATGCTAGTTGAACTAGATTTGACACTGGTAATAGAAAGGACACTGTGTAGGTGGAATCCTAGAGGATTTAGCAGTTTATGGGATGGGGGACGGGGAGGTTATCATAATACTGGTAGCCCGGATTATCATGAAATTTTTTCCCCTTTCATCCATTCGTTCAGCATGTATTGAGTATACTAATGCTTTTAACAGAACAAGCTGTTCAGCAGAAGGAGGAACTAATTTTAGAATCTGGATAATAATTTGGATATTGAACATGTTGAACTTGTAGTGCTGACAAGATAACTTTTAGAAGGTATTTTGATATTTGATTCTAGAATTCAAGAAAGTTTGAAACTAGAAAAAGAGAGCCAGCATCCTATTTTTGGTACTAAACTCATCTTTAACACACAGACAAAAACCAAAGAACTATATCTCCAGGAGCCACATTGATCAAAGAATACCAACCTATTCGAGGATTTTCATTTAATCAAATTTTCCCAGAGCCCTTTTTATAGTTGATTGTAACTTCTTATTTGCAGTCAATATTTTATAAATCAAAACAGCATAATCACAAGTAGGTAGTAAAGGATTAATGTATATGGACAGTTTACCATAAAACTCCCTTATGCATTTACTTTAAAGAAATACCATTTAATTTCAACTTTATATGTTGCTTAGCCCATCAAAAAGGTCATTTGGAGTTAAATATGTAAATTTTCACTAAAACCTTTTAGATGTTGTTAGAATTTTTATACTGTATTATCCTATTTTCACAATTTATACATTGATTTCAATTTTTTCTCTTTTAGTTGAAAAACATTTGTCTCTGTACTAAACCTATCAGTGGACACTATTAGTGTTCAGTAGCTGAAGCCTAATACAAATTATGTCCTCTCTTTAAAAAAAAAAGTCAACAGGTTAAAGAACCACTGGTACTATATTTTTCAGATTTCATCAGCCTCTTCATCAGTGAAGTAAGTTGATATTAGTACAAACAATGGAATGAAGAGGTTGACATTTATCATTAGTGGACAAAAGGTATCAAAAAATTTCTGACTTGGAAGACAATGTAATTTTCATTATGGTGTTAAGGTTGAACAGTGCCACCCATTCAGCATTTATTTTTCTCTGTTTCTATTTTTGGTATACATACTTGGAGGGACAAATCTGTCATGGGAAAATTTTTATGAAGTGCTGATTTTCTGACTTACACTTAAATTCCATGTTTTAAGCAGTAGAAGCTAACACTGTTCTTTTTCAAACTTTAGCATGGACAATAATTATGGTTTTGGTGAAACACAAATTCTGTAGTCCCCCTCTGAAGGTTTGGGATGAGACTCAAGAATTGGTATTTCTAAAACGCTCTCAGATGATGCTGATGCTGCAAATCTGAGGACCACATTTTGAGTAGTACTGGGGTGGTACATTGTAACAGTCACTCCAGAATTAGTAATTTAGAAAGCACTTAGACTTAATATGTAGAGAGAATTTAAAATCAAAATAAAGTGTTCCATATTGGATAGCCTATTGTCATAAAATCTCAGCTAATGAGAATTAAAATTTCATAATTAAAGCATTAGTTATTAGATAATTAGTTAAGAAACAGATAACGTATACCAATCCTGATAAAATATTTATATCATTTTCTGTATATCTGCTGTAGTATCATGAATGCTCCTATTTTCATATCAAGACAGTTTCTTAATCTTTTATTTGTGTTAGTTTTTCTTATTCTCACTAAATGGCTTGGAAATTTAAAGAAGAGCATAAATTTATGTAATTGAAAAATTTCTCCCAAATGTAAAGAAGTTACTTAGTTCATAAGGTTATAAATAAGTGTAAAGTCATTTGAGACTAGGAAAATAACAGTTTGCTAAAACTTTGAAAATAGACACCTTTAACCACAGAGATACTATCACTGTCTTAGTATTTTTAGTATTGTGACATATTTATGGTATTTTAATTTTGGATATTTTTTGGCTTTCAATTCAGCAACATTTTTTTTTTGGTAAGAGACAGCATCTCACTTTGTCACCCAGGGTGTAGTACAGTATGCTATCAAAGCTCACTGCAACCTCAAACTCTTGGGCTCAAATGATCCTCCTGTCTCATCCTCCCAAGTATCTGAGATAACAGACACATGACATCATGCCCAGCTAGTTATTTATTTATTTAGTAGAGACAGGAGCCTTGCTATGTTGCCCAAGTTGATCTTGAACCTCTGGCCTCAAGTGATCCTCCCGTCTTGGCCACCCAAAGTGCTTGGATTACAGGCATGAGGCACCATGCTTGGCCAACACTTAACTTTTTAAAATGTTTTTATGTTATTAGAGTTGGCAGATTTCCTCAAAAGTATTAAAACTATATTTCCATAAACTGGTCAATTCAAACTTTTAGCTAATTCATATTAGTTTTTTCATTAACTTTCTATGTTTTTATTGTACTTTTCTCTCTATTAATATTGGAAGAAATTTCCCATTTTTCCTTATGGCTTAGAAAGATTTGCTAAATTCCCTTTTTTAAATTTAAACACATCTGAAAGTATATTTCTATTGAGATATGGTCAACAGATAAAAAATGCACAGATCTTAAATGTTCAGTTTGGTGAGTTTTTATACTATGTAACCACCATCCCAAACAAGATACAGAACATTTTGATTACTCCAGAAAGTTCCCTTGTGCCTACTTCCTTAATTCCCAACCCCCTTTCTCACCTAGAAACCAATTTTGATTTCTACACTGTAGGTTAGATTTGCCTAAATTTGAATTTCATATCAATGTAGTCATACACTATGTGCTCTTTTTCTTCTTCTTTTGCTTAACATAATGTTTTAGATACTCATTTGTGTTGTTGAGTATATCATAGTATTTTTCTTTTTTATTGTTGAATAGTATTCCTTTATATGGATTTAATACAATTGTTTATCCATTCTTCTGTTAGACCTTTTATGTTTTATTTCTCTTAGGTAGATATCCAGAAATGGAATTTCTTAATTATGGAGTAGATGTATGTGTAACTTTATAAGCAACTACCAAGTAGTTTCCTGCCAGGAGTATATCAGAGTTCCAGTTATTTCATTTTCTCACCAACATTTTGTATTACCAGGCTTTTTTTAATTTTAGCCAGTCTATTAGATGTGTAGTAATATTTCACTGTGATTTTAATTTGCATTTTCTTAATGACTAATAAAAAAGCTTGAGCACAGATTCATGTACACATTGTTCATCAGTTTTCTTTGGAAAAGAGTTTGTTCAACTTTTTCCCGATTTTTAGTTTCTGTTTTTATCAATTTATAGGATTTTTGTGTGTGTGTATTCTGGATACAAGTGTTTTGTTAGAGATATATACAGCTGATGTTTTTCCCCAGTCTGTGGATTGTTTATTCATTTTCTTAGTGGTGTCTTTGAGCAGAAGATTTTAAAATTTGGTGAAGTTCAATTTATCAATTTTCTGTTGTTTAGGTTATACTTTTTGCTGCCAAAACAATCTGTGCCTACTGTAAGGGACAAAGATATATTCTTGTGTTTTCTTCTAGAAGCTTTATGGTTCTGTGTTTTATATTTATGTCTATGATTCATCCTAAATTAATTTTTATGTATGGAATGAGATAAGGATTGAGATTTTTTTCCACATAGATATCCAGTTATTTCAAAACCATTTGTTATATAAATACTTTCCTTTCCTCATTGAATTGCTTTGTCACCTTTGTTGAAAGTCAATTGACCATACATGTTCCATTGCTCTATTTGTATATCTCTATTCCAGTACAACAGTCTTGATTGCTGTTGGGGTTTTGATAGGGATTGCATTAATGTATCAGTTTAGGGAAAATGGACATGCATCTTCCCATCCACAAAAAAGTTAATTTTTTTCCATTTGTTTAGGTCTTCTTTGATTTCTCTTAGTAGGGTTTTATAGTTTTCAGTGAAGTCTTACATATGTTCCATTTGCCTTATTCTAAAGTATTAATATTTCTTTTTTATACTATTGTTAATAGTAATGTCTTCATTTTCTAATTGTTGCAAGATTTGCTGTTTTCTTAATTTTGAGTTCATTGCTTTGAAGAGACTAAGTTCTTCTAACTCTAGCAAAATGTATTCCAATGTATTCTGAAAGAAAGTGGAAGTTATTTCAAATAAATAAACATTTCAGCATTAATTTTAGAACATACCTATTTTATTGACTTAGGGGTATCAGTATTTCTTCCACTTGATTGGTAAATGTCCTCAGAACTCCCTGTTTGTGAGATTCAGCTGGTATTTTTCTGTGACTATAAGGAAGTCCATGCTATTTTTTTTTTAATGGTTGTTCCTGGTTCCTCAATTAGATATTAATAGTAAACCCTTGGAATATAGAATGTTTTAGATTACATCTGTCTTTCATTTGATAAGTGAATGAATGAAGTGGGAATAGCTTTGGGCTCTCAAGAATGGGAAGATTTGGCTAGTGGGCATTAAAGGAAATTAAGGGCAAGGAATAAAACTTTGGCAACAAGAGAAAAATGACTTTAGTCTTTAGGGTGATTAATGAATGATTGAACCTTCCTCCCACAAGAAGTCTCATATTTAGAAATAGTAAGAAAAAAATTGACATTCACTTTGGGTTCAGAAGGTCTTGAAACCTAGGATTAGGGGTTTGTTTTCCCATTTAATTCAATGGAATCATTTCAGATTTTAAAGTTGAGAATGTGTATAATATTGACACCATTTTATTAGTAGCTCTTGTAATTGAAATTTCTTAAAAAGTTTTAGTGTCTGTGGTATTCTAGTTTTGAACCATAGATATATTTTAATTACTTATGGCTGTGAAAATAAACTACCACAAATTTAGTGGTTTAAAACAAGGGAAATTTATTCTTTCACAGTTCTGGAGTTTCTTGCTATAATTGCCATTTTTTTAATGGAATGTACCCATTAAGTGGATGTTATGGAATGATATTGAATTCTAGTAGCACAGTTGAGTAACTTAAAAAGCCTCAGGTGGTGAGCTACTTATTTCAAATAGTAATCAGGAAAATACCAAATTAGGAAAAGAGATTGAATTGTACTTTGACTATCATAGATCTTTTATGTGACCCATAATAAAATTTTGGGACAGTTTTTAGTTTGGGGCAACCAGGCACGAATTCCTGGTTTTTTAGGGCTTTCTTGGTCAGGTTGGTGCATGATCAGGCCTAACCTGTTCCATTCATTGTACCAGATAGACTTTCTGTAGTGGCCTATTAGTAATTACCTATCTTTTAATCAATCTTTATTCCTACTTTATAGCTAGAAGTTTAGAATGTTTTCTCCAGAATCTTACTTAATGCTTGTGACATATAGAGATTACGAGTTAACATGTAAATGTATTTTAAATGTATGCTGTCATATTTGAATATGTTACTTGTAATATATTAACATGGAATCATACCAAGCTTGTTATACAAATCTTCAATAATTGTTAGAGGAATGGGTCACCTAGAGAACTTTAATGCGGCCAACTCCAGTTTGGCTTTGGGATATTGCTTGAATATCCCTTGTAGAGATTGCTAAAACCTCAGTATGGGAATAACTTTTATGAGCATCATTTAATAAATCATGGCCAAAGAAGAAGAAACAGTAAGCCTTAGTTTTCTTTTCTTTTCTTCAGTCATTATATTAATTCATTTAAATATCTAAATGTTAACTTGTTGATAACTGATAGATTTGGCATAGGAAAAGAGGTAGCTTGCCAAAGGGAAATTGAAAGCCTAATTCTCATTGTTTGCTGTATAATCTTTCTCCCAGCATATATGTTGCTTACTAGTTCTTTGTAACCAGATATCAGGATGGTTTTTGCCTTGCTAGTGAGCTCTTCAGCAATGTGAAGTTCATCATGAAAATGAATCTACTGTTGAAGGCAATAGTTCACAATATAATTAAAAACTTACATATTTTCTGAATTCTGTGTTGAGAACTGAAGTCATTTGGCTTCCTGGTACTTTCCACAATTTACTGAGTCACTTTGGCCTTAGCAACTTAGATAATAAATGACATGGTACTTAAAATTTTTTGTGCTCTTTTAATGTATGTAAAGCAGTCAATGAAAGAATTGAAATGATTATACCATTAGTTGATGAGTATATGAACCAACCACATTGATGTGTCATGCAATGTGAATATGGATATTTGCCTGTTTTGTTGCAAAAACTTGGAAGAAGAGAGTAAGAAAGAAAAAGAAAAACTATTCTATGCTCAAAGGAACTTCCTAAGTTTACTTTGGAAATTGAAATATATTCCATAGTATATTAGATAAAACTTTCAGAGTCATTACTGGTTGAAAATTCTATGTAAATACTAAAATGGATCTTTATTTACTTGAGAGTAAAAAAATATATATCCGAATATCTGCTACTGTTAGCCATGGATTATTTGAATGAAATGTCTTTAAATGTAGATAATCTTTCTTCATTTGTTTGTTGAGAGACTGCTGAAAAGAAAATGACATATTGATTCTTTCAGAACTATTAGATAAAAAGGAGAGGGAGAACCACAGAGAACATAGAAGAAAAGGAAGGAAGGAGATAATCAAATTGATACTTGGTAGATTCCTATTCATAAACTACATTTACATTAGCATCTGAGAATTGGCATAAAACTTTCTTATTTTGACCAAATAGTATAAAGAAATTCCTGCATATTGAAAACATGCTTAAAAATGTGTTATATTTAGAAAACTGACATAAGAAAGATTCTTTAATGAATTAACTTATTTTCAAATATTTTGAGTTCTTTAAAGTTGTTTCCTACAAATCTGGCCTAGAATAACCAGTTTTATAATTAGATAAATTTTTATTTTAAATGATTATATAATCCAGTCTCATAAGAAAAACCCTAGTAGTCCATTTTATAATGATATCTCCAGCCAAGCACATTATATAAGCTTCATACTCTGCATAGTTTGTGCTCTTCCTTTTTCATGTCCTGCTTGTCTGCACGTACTTATTTCTATTTGTGTTAGTCATCCTCTCTAGGTAAATTGTCCATGAGACCAATGATTCCATGAGCAAATTATCCAGAAAATGCTGTCTTTGCACGTTGTGACAGATCATGTCACTGGTGAATTTATAGCTACTCCAGTGGTCTAATTAACCTGGCAGTTGTCTCCTGTGCCCAACACTGTTGTCTCATTGCCTTGGCATCTTAGTTTTCATCTTCTCATTACCTTCTCTCTTAACTAAAGCTCAGATTTATAATTTTTTTTTCCTTACCTCCACTCAACTCTCTCTATTCACCACCCCCCTTATTTTTGATTGGCAGTATCATCCAGATAAACAAAGTACAGATGTACCAGCAGGAACAGTGGAGAAATGTATCCAGAAGTTCATTGAAATTGATCAGGCATGGAAAATTCTAGGGAATGAAGAAACGAAAAAGGAGTATGACCTGCAGTGGCATGGTAGGTACTTGAGGTGTGAGGCACAGCACATCAGCAACTCTTTGAAGCACAATCTGCAGCCAGTCCTGGGGAGCTTTTCCCTGCATTTACACCAAGTTATTATTGCAGCCTTTATTCCTCCCCTCCATCATTGTTTTTAATTATGCCCTATTCTTAGTAATGATTATTGTGTATCCATTGAGAAGTTAACAAAACTACTAGGATGTGGCTTCTTGTGAAGCCTTGAAAGCTACTTTTTATAACTACTGAAAAATGTTTAATTACACATTCCTAATTAATATACTTTATATGTTTAAAAACTTCTTTTTGTTAAATTTAATTATGTATGTTTTAAGTTTTTAATTGTACTTTTAAGACTGTCTACTGTATAAATTGACTATGTAAATGAAGATACTATATAGGATTATAACATAAAGCACTCTCCTGTCTTTAAGCTTGTTTTAGGCTACATTTCATGATTATCTCCAGAATGATCTATTTCTTATGAGATTGTTATGAATGATATTTCAGGAATGCACATTACCAAGAAATTTTAAAAGTCATTTCTTTTATGCTTTTTAGAAAATAGCTTGTTAAAACAGTGACAAGCTGTTGTGAGAAAGAAAGGAAGAAATGTAGGTCAGGTTTGTCACACATGGACTGCAGTTACAAGAAGTGATAGGCTGTCTTTCAGCACTGGCCTTGGGACAGGAGTCCCTCAGCTTTCTATTTGAACCTTCAATATGTACCCCACATGCTAATGGGGGGAGTCAATAATCAGTTACAGCCTGTGGGGAAAACACTCAATTGCTCTCTCCAATAGCACATCAGGCTCAGCATTGATAGGATGTCTTGATAAAAGCTGACTATCTCTGTAGTTGACTGTTGAATCCCCTTTCATGCCTTACACTGGCACACCAACAAACCTCACAAAAGGATTTTAAGGCTTCTGTTACTAAAGTTATAAAAGTTTGATTTGAGAAGCAAAGCTTTATTTTTAAAACACAACATTATAGTATAAAGCCAATGATATTTGTAGAACATTCATATTTATTTTCAGAAGGAGTTTTACCAATAAAATTAAGCATTTTTATAGGCTATGTGTGATACCTTTGTGTGAAAACACTTAATGAACTATTTGTTTGTATACTGGAGTATTTGTTATTACTAGTGACTTATTCATTGTACTGATCAGCTCTAAGGCCTTTCTACTTTTTTAAAGACTGATGAGCTTTTTTTTTTTTTAACATTAAGAACCTGAATATAACTTTGCAAATAATTTGCATTAATTTTCAGATATAGCTTGAGTATTGGGTTCTATTTGGTACATATGTGAGCATCTTTTTAATGTATTTCTTTTATGATGTTTTTGTACTTCTGGCAAAAGAATGTAGAGTTGGCTTCATTTGATGATAAGCTCTATCCATAGATATATCTTTCTAACCTTAGTTCACATGATATAATTTCTATGAAAGTATTGAAACTAATGCACATGAATGTGTTGTGTGTCAGAAGAAATCTGTGTTCCTAAAGTGACCAAGCTCTTCTGGAGATGATTCTCTCATGTTGTTTTTGCACATCTTTACTGGTCTTTACTATATGGGGTGCCGGTTTGCTTAAGATAAGAATAATTGACACAAAACTGTACCCTAAAGAGTGTAGGTATGTATTTTCAATGTCACTCTGCATTTTTGCCACTCCACAGCCTGTGTACTATTAAGAACATATAAGTGAAATTGACTAGAAGCCTGCTGTCTAAAGAGAAAGAGGTAGGGAGGGATCAGGAATCATAAAATATTTTCTCTTAAGAAGCTATGGGTGGGATAGACCAGAAATGGAAAGAAATAGGAAACGGGTTAAAAGTGAGCATAGAATTGCATGAAGGAAGCTTTAAGAGATATTAGAACAAATAATCAACAAATTCAAGCCTTTCTCATTGTCTTTGAGAAGTCCTTGGAACTGTGGATTTCTTTTGAGCTTTGAATCCACGGTTTTAAGCTCTTAATGGAAGCACCTGTGGCCTACTATATCACAGGGGACTATTGTAGATCATTGATGAGGTCACAGTGAAGTTTAGACAAACCAAATAAAGTGAGAATTGGGCCTGATTCTTGATTTCAGATAAATAGCTTGGAATTTATATGAGTTTGTTCTGCAAATTTTTCAGGTGGCTGATTATTGAATTGAGCTTTTGTAGAAGGACAGTAGAAATACAACTTTTCATGACACTTTAGTACCTTAGATCTAAGTGCTAAGTAATTTCCTTCTTTACTAGAGGTTCCAAATAGTGAGAATGCTTTGTTTCAGTTTTAAATGGAGATGGGCTTGTTGTTTAGATAAGAAAGAGAAGCATCTCTTATCCAAATAAAGCTTGTTATTTTTAAACCTTTCATACCAGAGCTATTTTTCAAAAGTCTCTTAATAAACATACTTTTGTTATTTATTTTGAATACTGTTATTAGTTTTTCTTCTTGACTCATCTTCAATAAGTCGCTTCTTAGAAAAAAGGAAATGAACTTGAACTTCTAGCAGTGAGGATTTAGGTATGATAGAAGGAAAACCTTTGAGAGAGATAATTTGTTAAAGACCAGGATAGGTTACCAAGAGAGAGAGACTTTGTTATAACCAGGTCAAAGCACACTTTTTTTCTGGGTCACCCCCTGGGGACATGGAAATAGCTTTGTTACACAAAACTCTTTTTGTATGTGGTGCTAGTTCTTTGTAAAACTTTCTTTTCATAGGGTGTGCTTTAAATATGTTTGTTTCCTGCTTACTATTAACTTGCACTGTAAAATAAATTTGAACTCTGTAATACATGGGAAGGAGGCAGAAGGAGCTTTATTGGCTGATCTTGAATACTTTCTCGTATTTCACAGCTCAAAGTTGGTGCTCTGTTGTAAGAAAAGCCTCTTCAGTATTGCCCACAGATATATATTTATGTAACAGATAATTTAAAGAAGCCCTTGTCACCCATATTTCTGTGCTTCTCGAAAGAAATTATCAAATGAGTACTTTATTATAAATTAAAATTAATAATCTAAGGCAGATAACCTAAAGCATGTACATTTTTTTCTCCTTCATTTCTACTTTTGTATTCCTAGTTGACATTTTAGGGCAATGTTGGCCATGCTGAAGTAAAGCAAATCTAAGAAAAGGATGAGTAATAATCAGTTCCCAGAGATTGTACATTTTGAAAGCAAGTTAAGTAGTGAATTTAATCAATTAGTTCCAGTTGGCATATTTACCTTACTGTTTCTAAGGATGCTTCCAAAGGCTGCCTCTAGTGTTTCCCCCGAAAGGCATGTAGTTATTCAAGACTAGGCTTTGCATTTCAACCAAATGAGCACTTTGGAAAACCCTTACAGGATTTATAAAATATTCACATAAATAGTATCTGTTGGGTAGATTTGGGTGCCTTTATAAATCTTGTGGGGGAGTTTTCTTATTTATTAAGCATATTAAAAACACATCAGAAGTATATCATGGGAAAGTAATAGGGATCATGATTCAATAGCTTTGTAATGTGACAGTCATACAGATAGATCTCTGATGTCTCAGTGGCTCTATTGAATGACACAGCTTATGAGTTAAGTTGCTTCTCTGTGACCTGAAGAGGAACAAACCTTCAAATAAAGTTAATTAGATTAAGTAATGTTTAAAAAATTAAGTGGGTTTTGTTTAGAATCCTTGTTGATATATTATTTTGAGCTATATCTTGGTTCCTTATTAATGAATTATTTTGGCGATGTGGAACCTTCACTCTACACAATTGACCAAGTACAAAACAGCCTGGTTCAAAGGGAGCCGGGCCAGACATTGTGAGTGTGCCTTTGCTCAAAGCTAATCAGCTACTCTCCTTAACTAGATACAGGAGGTCATTTCTGGTGTTCTGTTACACAATTCACTTGGTCCCTTTGTTAGGATAAATTTTTGGGAATGGAAGATAAGCAAATAAATCTTGGATCAAATGAGGAACATATCTTAAAATCCCACCGGCATTTATGTGTCAGATAACTAAATCAACATGTAATTTCTTAAAATAAGAATCCTTCCTGAAAAGCATGTTAAAGACCGATTAACTCCATAAAAAGAGAAATAATACACTTTTAAATGTAGATAATATGAATTTGGGTTAACTGTTAGGAATAATGACTTAAGGCCAGATGATGTTTGTGTAAATTATGTCCTAAAGCTGACTCTTACAAAATACTTGAATTTGTCAGATTAGGGTTTCCATTCATGATCATATTAGTATTTCCATTTGATTTTAGGAATTTTAAAATTGGCTGTAAAAATTTGCTTCGGGTAAAACTTGAAGATAAGCATCAGGGGGTATGTTATTTTGGTGACTATTTCTGAGAAAAGTAAGTATGTGAAATGATGCAGAAAATCCATCTAGACAGTCCGGGACTGGCTTTATCTTGAGAGGGAGAAGTGAGTATAGATAAAACTTTCTGTGAGAGTCCCCCTGCCTCAACTTATTTGTCACAGAAAATGACTATTCACATTTTTTATTACTTTTACTTGAATGCAAATAACTGTTTTTGCAATGAAAATGTATTTTAAGACCATTTCTCATTGATTTTGAATAAAAATTTGGCTAGTTTCAAATAATGCTATAGAAACCTATGGACAAGATTATAGTTGTAATTCTCATATATTACTTAAACACAGTTGGGAGTTCTGATTTAATAATGGAGAAGTGTAGGATTTTAGCAAGTTTTTGTTTCCAGCTTTGACTTTTCTTCCAATTTCTACTTGGTTATTTGACTCAGTTGAAATCAGTAGGTCCAAAATCAGGACTTGGGTCACCTTTTTCATTGCTTGTTTTTTCCATCAGACTTGAAACCTTGGTTTCATATTACACTCTGGTTACTTCTACTTTGCTCTATTTACAATCAATGAATTAGAAATGTCAGTTGACATTTCTTCTTTTTTAATGTTTTTTTCCTACTTGATCTTTTTATTCTCACAGCTACCACAGTAGTCCATCCCTAGATTATAACACATACCCAGATTAT